CAAGCAGATGTTTTAAAAAATACTTGCACTTGCAAGCAGACACAGCAGGAACACGGGGGGGATCATGCTACCCCAGAAAACATATCTTCACACACACAGCGTCACACAAATATCTGGCACTACACAGAGGTCATACTAACTTGGCAGCGGTGTTGGTAATGACCTAGAAGAAGAGAAAGAGAACAAAGAACATCAAAACCAACCACACAGAAAAAAGTCAATAGTTTGTAGACTGCAAAGGGCAAAAAGTATTTACAAAAGATTACTACAGCTCTTCTCAGACCATCTACAAATAAGAACAAAAAGTAAATATATGCCTAAAAACCCCAACATGATTAAGAAAGGAAAAAATGCAGGGGTTATAGTTGATCCACCAGAACTTATTGGGGTACTATGGCATTTTGGCTGACCCTTGAACATGATCTTATTGCTGTGCATCCTTATAAGTACTGCTACCAAAGTGAAGGGAGGAAGGAGTAGAGGGAAAAGAGGATTTTCAGAGTATATTCTCATCTGAAAATAGCAAGTGAGTGGCAGAGACTATATTTTTCTCTTAGATGCTGAATATTCAGGGATGAAGTCTGTTCTCAGGCCACCCTCAGAGATAGTTTTGCAAGACTGATTTTTAAGTCTTGGTACATGCTGGAGAAACTCCAAAGAATATATTAGTAAATGTTTTAAAGCTAAAACTACGCAAAATGCCTTTGTATGTAACGAAGCAATTGCCTAAATATGACTGTACCTACATTATACCAAGAGAAGTGTAAGCCAAGTATGTTCACACTCCATTCCTGCATCTCTGCATAAACCAGTGATGGTGCTTGCACAGTAATTCCGAAGTATATATCCACAGGATAAAGCTGGGAAGCTGGGAGTGCAGAACAAAGTGTGTTCAGTCTGGACTACAGTGCTCTTCCCAATAACTCTTTATGGTGGTTGCACAAATAACAGTAATGGGCTGTGATGTTTATTTCAACTTTCTTTTTTTTTTTTCCCAAAGCTTAGAATACCTACATTATGCTCTTTTCTTGGCTGAAGACTAATTAATCATATTTTGTGCAAAATAAAGAGGAAGAGATCCAGGCTGCATGGAATACTATTGACAGAACTGTTCACTGAGGATTCTAACTTGCTGCTGTGATATTTCTGTATCTGTGACTGATACAAAACACCTGACAGCAAAGTTACACTGTTCAGAGTAATATTTCAAGTGAATTTGGCTCCTCCTACTTTTTTCCTTGCAGAACCTTTGATATTACTGCTTCTTCCTACATATGATCCTTTTGCCTTGACTAATCCAACAGCAGTTTTCATGATCAAAAGCACTCTAATGAGCCAAAGCTGCAGTAAAAGCTTTGCACTTCAGCATTTCCATAGTAAAGCAATCACAGATGACCCTCTGTAGCTACTGATCAGACTCCCAGATTTGAAAGCATTCTTCTAGCTTTATAAACCCCACATTAAGCCAAATATATCAGTCTCTTATAGGAACTGGTAGGGATATATTAGGAACAAGCTGCAGCCTGTAAGCTGTAGGTGTATGTGGGACAGCTGGGCACTCATTTACAATGAAACCAAGTGTAATGGCATAATTTTCTGACTCAGCCAGGCATCTATCACACATATAAAATAACATTTTCAAGGCAGAACTACCAAACCCCTAAAATACACCTTAATTAAAGGACTATAAGAGTATGTCCACAGAAAAGAAACACTATGTGCACACACTAAGAATAGCTCAGCAGTCATGTCTTAGTAAAGATTTTTGAGATGTGAAGAGGCTCCTATAGCTTCTTTCAGGAACAGTAAAGCTTTGCTTCTCCTTACATTTAGGATGTGATGAGAAAATTCCTCCCAGTTCAGAACCACACATTATTTTACTTTGATTCTATATAGGGACATGCCTGGAACACCCAGCTTGCTGCTCACAGAGGTCACACAGTAAGAGGCCAGTAACCCAAGCCACCTGGTACATACTTGTGGGACAGGTATTTACTGCCCTTGCCCTACAGTGTGAAAAATAACTTCCTCTGGAATGAAAAAGAGGCACATGTTACAAACTATGACTCACTGTTCATATTTATTCATACACTCCAGAGCTTTCAGCACCATCACGTTCCACACTCCTAACAGGCTATCTCATTTTTCACCTTGGGTCAGAGTGATAAAGCTTTAATGTAAAATTTATCAGACAAACAGATGCTTGTTATTCTTCACAGATCAAGGAAATAATATCAAAATTTATTTCAGCTTCTTGATAGGATTTTCCAAAGGGTTTAGCTAAACCTGTAACAGCATTTCACACAATTAAATTTAAATAATTTGGTGAAAAGGGCACAGAATTAAAACATACCTTAAATTCACTTCTCATGCTTGAACTTTCTCGCAGCTTTTACCATACAGCTAAGTGCACATTTGTGAAAGCACAATTAATTCAGCTTTGGAGCACCACAATATCACAACCACGTTGTATTATATGGTTAGAACGTTCCCAACAAAGACCAGAGCTGATTTTGCAGTGCTCACAGTACTTCCTTATTCACATATATGCACTGTGAGATTGAGATTATCATGGATGCCACCACATCCTAAAATAGTTACAGGCTCCATGTTTTTCTCCACAGAGCAGGAGACAAGATACTTCTTCCTTCATGGATAACAGTCAAGTGAGAGTGGGAATGATAGCACTACTGAGCTCTGAATTTTCTCTGCATGTCAACAGAGATGTACACTTCTCTAAATCTCAGAGAAGTTACTTGACAATACACATTTATTTAGTGCTTCTGGGCTCTTTCATCTTTTCAGAATGTTCCTGCACTGCGAGATAAGTTTTTTTTTATTTTCTTGTTTGTTCATCACTATTACAGATAGTAAAGGCAGATAGCAGTTCCCTAAAATTTCATTCAAACTGAATAGAAAGGCTCACATTTACTTCAGTGAGTGATGGATGCAGCTGTGTTGTATTCTGATAATAAACAGCCACAATGCTGAACCATCCAAAATTCAGCCCCTTCACACCCTCACCCCTGCAGGTATTAAGGAGGGTTATGAACATAGTGGAGAAAAAGACAACATGATATACTCCCAGGAAGCTCTGTATATTGAAATAAGACAAGAATTGGTATTCTTCAGAAAACTGCAATTTAAGACAGAAGTATTCTGAGGTTTATTTTGCTGATCTTGCTTAGTAACTGAAATTATTTTCTTTTAAACAGTAATTGCTTTACTTAATTTTCCAGTATGAGAAGGGATGATAGAATTTTCTCAGATAAGTTAATTAGGATTGTTAATGTTGAGTGCTCAAGAGAGTGGCAGTGAATAATCTAAAACTGCTTGAATCATCTAAAACAGGTGTATGTGCTCTTGTAATAAGATGAAATGTCCCTACTTTGCTACAACTTAAAACCTCTTGGTTTTACTTCTGCAAAGAGCTTCTGCAAAGGGATATAAAGTACTTGAAGATATGCATTTGCTGTCAGACCATGAGCAGATTGTCCGAAGTTTCTGGTTTTCCTTGTATAGCCAAGTCCCTAGTGTAAAAAAAAAAATACTTTTCCCCATATTCCTAACAATAAATTTATTCTAATTTAAAACAACAACAAACAAAAAACCCACATGTAAGATACGGTCTGAAGTTTCCCTCATTTGCCTCATTGACCGTCACAAGAACAGAGACTAAGACCCAGAGGAGCCCAAGGGACTTTGTACAGGGGTTCTGGCCTGGTTGAGGTTGATGCTTGCCAGGTGATGGTTTGCAGGTGTGTTTGCTGTGCTGCCATGGTACCCTGCCTTCATTCCTGCTGCTGAGCAGGGACTTGTACAGAGCGGCCTGTTCTGTACCTTACACCTGCTTCCCAGAGCAACAGGTCTCATCACAATAGCCCAGGAATTTCCCCACCTCCTGGCCAGCTGCCCCTCAATTTTGAAACAGACTATAAAAGTGACTTTCTAAGTTACTATCTGAGAGAGAGATCTCCCCACGGAAGAAGACACCGGCACCCCCAGGTCATCCATTGGTATCTATAACCCCCCCTTTTTCTCTCTTTTTACTTTGCCTCTTTATCTCTCTCCCTCTCTCTTTCTCTCCCTCTCATCTATAGCATAACCCTTGTTGTTGGCACTAAAATAAAGGTGCATTATTGCTGTTGTGATTTAAACCGAAATCCCTTGGTGTCCTTCTTGCACTCTGAGATGAAACGAACCTCTCACGACTCCCGCTTGTGTTAGCGGATCGTGACACCAAAAATAAACTAAAAAGTTGTATTTGTTTGATGATTTATACATGAAGGCAAAAAAATCAGGAAAACCTGTTTCTTACTGCTTTTTCTCATGTACTGTAGTCAGAACTCCTCACTCCATAAACCTACAAATAAAACAGGTGACCTGCAATACAGGAATATTGAAAACCTTGACAGCATGGGATAAAACTATCCGGGCAGTATCTGGAGATCATTCATTGTTACAGCGAAGTTAACATTAAAGCTAGCAGATGCAAGACATTCTTCAAACCGGAGGATTCAAAATATTGCAGTTCTGACTCATTTTGCATAGGAAAGCCAACACATTAAGGCAGGAATTACAGCAAGTCATGCCAGTGCTGGTCAAAGTCATTTCTCTTCAGCAAAGTACCAAAGATCAGGTGTGGTTTACAGCAGCTGCTCTCATGTCTGACAGCAATACTTGGTTCTCTGAGACTCCATGCATTAGTCAGAACTGCTGAGTTCTACAACCCTGAGATGATTACAGTTACTTCAGTCCTAGTGCTCCCCATCATGCTCTGCTGACTATTGCCAATCTATGCTGCACTTCAGATACCAACAACCATTGCATTGTAATGGCAGTGTGTGCATGTTTTGGGGGCTACTGGAAAGTTTAATGATTGATCCAGACCTTAATCATGATTGCCAGACAAATGCACAATAGTGTAAGCACCATTACATTCACTGTTCAGCAAGTTCATTACTTATTGAAATAATTGAAGATGTTACCATATTACCTACCCTCTAGGAAGTCCACCTTCTGAAGCCCTTCGGTTGAGACTCAATTTATGCATCTCAGCCATTTCCCTCAGGGTCTCTGCCGAGTAAAGGCCAATGGGGTTGTTATACTGCCTCGCAGGGCTCAGCTGGTGTGCAGGGCTACTGCCACCAGCCGAAGCAGGGCTTGCTTTGGAACCTAAAGTGCTCTTGGCAGGTGAAATGTCAGAAGTCACAGACTGAGAGGACATGGAAGATCTAACTGTGGTAGTCTTTAGGTAGGAAGAGCTATCTGAAAGGCTGATCTCTTGCTGGTTGAGGTAGCCTGAAAATGTTCCATTGGTTGCTAAAACACTACTCATAGGCCCAGTCGCCGTGTTAGTTAGAGGACTGAAGGTTGTTCTGTTGCCATTGATTTCCCAAGCAGGTTCCTGTAGTAGCAAACATGCAGGCCAAGAAAAGAAAAAAAAGAAAAGAGCAATCATAGAACACATGCAAAAATAACGTATCTGCAATTAATACTGTAAACATAGTAATAAACTAGCAATAAATAGATTTGAGCCAAAGCATTCAAACTTTCAGAGAAGATTTTCAACAAAGAAATGCATTGTTTCGAAATAAGGGAAGCAAAACCAACTCAGGCATTTCTTTACCAGGTTTTAGTTGAAATCAACAATTAAAGCTTAACATTAAGAGAGCATTTGCCACTAGTCAACCTCATAGCAATAATTTTATATTAAGCCAACACTGTCCATTAATTTCTAGAATAATTAAGAAATCTTAAAAAAAAGTCTTGAGGTAAGAATCATTTTAGATCACGTACAACCATAAAAGTCAATGCCATTATTATAAAGACACAAGGATTCTAAACCACACCACTCTGTTTTCTATGAGTGCAGTTGAAGTTATGGAAGTTATGCACTGCTTTTCTGGGCTCTGGTTCATGCTGATCAGGCCATGCAGCAGGGTTAGCAAGACACCAACAGGACTTGAAAACATGTACTGCTCCACAGAAAGGTAACCCCTATGCTGATTGTTCCTGCTTAATTTACACTTGAGGGAATGTGTGCTTGAGTATGCAGGTGTGTGTATGATCCTACAGTCCTGTGCCAGATAATATTCCTAACTGGGACAGTAGCAGATATTGCCTTAGCCAATCTCTCCTACAACACCTACACCCATAGAAGTCTGTGCTGATGTTCATATTCAAAACAATTTACCAAACACTCATCCTGAAAAAACACAATCCAACATTTTAGTTCCATGAATGATTCACAATAAATGCACTTTAGTGAAACCAAAATAAGAGGCGATATAAAAAATGAAAAATGCTCACAGCTAAAAGGCCCAGCAATGCTGGGTACTTGCTGCAGTCCAGCTCAGGGGACAGGGACAGGCAGGGGACATCAGCCTGAAGAAGGAATGGAGCCCACAATCTGGCTTCAATGATAGCCAGTTCAAGAGCAGGTGGTTGCCTGCAGAGATGTTTTGCCTCATTCACTGGCAATTCAATCATCATCTTTAACACCTTGCACTTATATCCCCCTACAGCCTTGCATGAAATACAGGCCTAAGAATAATTTGGCCTCTAATTCTATACTTTTGCTAGTATTGGTTATCATTAATGTAATTTACTAATTTTGATACTATGGTCCATGAGAAAAATAAATATTTATATAATTATATATAATATGTATAATTTTATATAATATTTATATATTTATATATAATATAGATGACTATGTATTATTATATATAATAATCCTTTTGGATTTTTCTAAACTGCATATATAAATTTAGGGAGCATGCCTTTGAAAAAAAAAATCAAGATAATATGCCTTGATTAATTAAAATTTATTTTAAAAATACCCTGAAGGTCTAAGGATATAAATAATCATAACATTAAACACATTTAAGACATTTTGAATCAAAAATGTAAGGCAGATAAAATTAACTGAGATAATTTTTCTTAGTGATAAACAGGAAGAGATTTTAGCTGGCATTAATAGCTGTCCGAGGCTGTAGAAACAGATAATCCTAAAAGCATTTTCAGACCATGCCTTTTTAAATAAATACATTTGCAATACATACTTTGGTCATTATACCCTGACACTGAAAACAGCAAATAAAAATCTCTTCCAGTGGCCTACTGAAAGCTTCCAGATATCATTACGGGTTCTCTCTAAAAATGCATTCAAAAAGAGGCACAACACCATGTTCAAAAATTAAGTAATCACTTGGGCAAACCATTTTTACATGCCAGCACAAAGGGACAAAACAATTATTAAATGAAAAATAAACACTGAGGTAATAGAAAAGAAGAAGGATAGGCTGGAGTTATGTTCATTTTTTACCCTGAAAATTCCATGGCCTTTAGCTAACTGTAGTTTTCTTCCTATACCCCAAAATAAAAGGACATGCAAGAAGAGATGATAGTAAAGTATCAATTGCAACTGCTAATTAGAGAAATGGCAGATATTTCCTTAACCTAATGCATTTTCATAGTCTTGGTGTTACTGGACAGTAACAGTAGACAAAGGAAAATTATAGGACAGTCATAAAAAATTATGGCTGATGATTTTGCTACCTCTTGGCATTAATGGAGTTCTGGTTTTGCTCCTCAAATAATCTCTAGCTGGAATACCAGCATACTGGCAAATCAGCATTAGAATTCTTAAGAACCCAGAAGTGCCAGGTTAGCAATCTCCACTTTGAGTTCATATTTTTGGATAGTTTTCAGGTAGTTGTTTTCCCTGTGTTGGGGGGGGCGGGGGGGGGAAGGATAAATGGATAAAACAGGAAGTGTCTAAGGGATCAGCTGTATTACTTCTTCTAAAGAATTACTGCCCCATCATCAGCATATTTAGCTCTTTCCTTTTCTGACTAACAAAAAAACCTCTGATTCAGTTTACTCCTGAGAGAATATTGTAGAATTATTTTTTGTCTCCAGTTCAGTGTCAGAATCAGATCAATGCAGAATTTCAGAACCCATTTCTGACTGTGAAGGGCAAATGCCTAATACTGAGCAGCAGTACTGAGCTTTCAGCATTGCATCACATGAAATGCAGCCAACAATAACAAACGTCCCCCTGTTCCCCATTTCTCATGCCATTCTGTTTCAGTGGCTGGAAAACCAAGCTGACATTTCCAGCTCTAGGAGTCTGATGCTACCACTCCAGCCGACCAGGAGAGGAGGCTCTGACACTGAGCAATGGGCTCCCCTCCAGAAAGATACCGGATCGTGCAGCGATCCCTTACTGCGGGAGGAAAACTGCATGTCAGCGAATGAGCTTAATATATGTAGAAGGGTCTCAAACCTTTTGAAATAGAAGAAAGCTAGGAATCAGTTCAATTTCCATTCTGAAATTTTTCTGTCCATATCTTTCCATATTATTATTATTATTATTATTATTATTATTATTACTTTATAAAAAAATGCAGTTTCTATGAAAGGCAAATATTTCTTCTTATGTATCAGGGACGTGAGAAACAAATTTATATTGGGAGATACAACACCAGATTTTGCAGGTCCTCTCCCTTTGACAACTCATTTTCTATTTATCTGTTCCTGTGACCCTACAGTCATTATTCACCTCTTGCACATCTGGGAGACCAATTTGAACAGTATACCAGTGAATTTGACCACTCAACATGCCCAAGAAGCAATTGTTGCTTTTAGAGGAAAAAGGGAATGGAGGCACCATGGCACTGAATGACTCTGCTCAAAGACATGATCAAACTGCTTTTGGCTGAGCCAGCTCCTCCATCCTATACTCTACTTAAAAAGTCAGTCATCTCCATCTATTTTCTCTTAGACACATATGCTCCCAAATTTGGCAAGAAGCAAATCATAAGTATGACAAGTTCCTCACTGGGATTCCAAAATAAGGTGTTCAGTAGTGTTTCAAAGAAAGCACAACATACAGCCATATTATTAGAATTGACAAGGCTGTCAATACCTTCATGCAAATGGACGAATGTTAAAGCCATGCTTAGCCCTAAAGCTCCAGATTGAATGTTTTGAACTGCACTGAGCTGAATCTTCATTTGTGTTGCGTCCCCTCTGAAGAGCTGCAGGAACTCATTGACTGATGGCTTAGTTTAAATCCTTGGGCCCAATCTTACTCTCATTGTTATTTGAATGCTTTCAACATTAACTATGCCCTTTCTTCCAGCTGTGCCCCACTTGTGCAAAAGACTTCACTAAATCAAAAAGATTTGACTAAACTAAATGAAAATTGTTTCTAGTTTGAGATTTATGTCAGATATAGTGAAACTGAAAATGAACCAAGCCTTATTTACAATAATAGCCCCACATACTTATGGTTGCAGAACCCATATCATCTATAACATTGATCAGCTTTGTGAAATAATGACTGATCTTTGTGAAAAAAGTATGTTTGTTTCCCTAAAACAATAATAAAAACAAAACAAAAAACACACAGTGAAAGAAGTGCATGCTTGAAAATTAGTGGAAGCTGCAATCAGATCAGCAATAATGTACAAGAGGATTTATGGTTTTAACTAGACACTGATGTTGCACATGCAGATTGTTTAGCTAACATTGCCATGCCTTAACCTTAGCCAGAGAAGGGTGAGGATAGCTTCTCTTGATGTATGAGGATGACACTGTCACAACTGTCTTGTAATGCAGTTTTTTGCTGATTTTTAAAAAATACCATCAAATTCATTTTACATGACCCATCAGTCTAAACACTGTCAAGCAGACATGTGGACGTGACTTCTGCCTGTGTGTCACAGAATTCTTCATTTCTACAGTGATACTGTTACTACAAATAAAAAAGGGACAAGTAAAGGAACCTTGGTTTTAAAGTGCATTTACTGTAACATACCTTACTGCCATATCAGCATTACACTGTTTCTATCAATAAAGTATTTTTATTCTGGATTTTGAGATTCCTCTGGGGGCCCAGTGCTTTTTTTCCCTTACAAACAATCCCCAGAGAAGACTTATTCACTTAAAACTTACTGTTGTCTATTAGCATAGACAAGTGACACTAGTGGCACTCCTCTTGATCTGCAAAGGGTCATTGTCCTCCTACCCAACACTCTAAGGTTACCTCTTGCCCCTGGGTGAAAGACCCTACAGCTAAGATATTCCTGAAAACTGCAAGATAACCTGTTTCCCACCATATCTTCCCCTGGATGCCACCCTTTTCCTCCAGAAAGGTTCCAGTAATTCTCTCTTCTAGCTGCTGGTACTGACTGTAGCCTGTTCAGAAAAGGCTGCCTCCAGCAGCTCCGACAAACCTTTCCTGAGCACCTTGCACAGAATCCTCAAGTGTAAGAAAGCAAGCTTCTGAAAATGTGTTGAGTCCTTTGATCCTCATCTCTCTCTGAAGGGTTACAATAGGAAATGTAAAGTGTCTTTATGGCTTTCATACCAAGGGTTCTTTTAGGAAATTCAAGAAACCCCTGCAGTGCTTAAAGTTTACTTTTCTATACAGTAGATAGCTAAGGGAGGAAAGTTTCTGTGGTAAACAGCTCTGAAAACGTATGGCAGCAATTTTAAAACTGACACTTGCCAGGGAAGAAATGCATCTAAAATGCACCTCAGAGAGTAATGAAAATCCAATATATAAAAGCTTTATATGCCTATGGAGGAAGGAGACAAAATTTTCAAACCTGTGAGGGTGCTATAGAGTCCCAAAAGGAAGGTGTCAATCTTATGTTGGTGAATAACTCTGATGAGACAGATCAACTCAATGCCTAACAGCCTTCTGGGTGGGTTTTCAGGGAAAATGAGAACTCATTTCCCTTTCTGTCCCTATTATTTTGCTGGTGCAGTTAAACACCAGTTTAAGCAAAATAATGATACATCACTTTTGTTCTAGGAATTTCACAGTACTGTTTGGTGACTCTTCCAGTAAGTTCCTCCAAAATAACTTTAAAAATCATGATATAAGTAGAAACAATTCTGAGCAAGATAAATTTTTAATTTCATCTTCCCTCGCCAAAAAAGTTTACAAGATCCAGTCTGAAATAACATTATTTCTGCCTCAACTAATAAATGGCCAGTCAGGTTAATTTAAAATGTCACAAAATAAAACCAAATCAAATTATTCCCCCCAGGTGCATTCTCTTCTGCTATTTTGAACCTATTTGCAGCAGTTTCAGGGATGAGGTTACCGTCTGTGCTCTGAATTTGGAAAGCATAGTGTTTATAAAAATTACTTAAAATTGATCTATGGAAGTTGGTGTCAAAAACAGTAGAAAATCATCTAATTCCCCAAGTGTTTTGATCTACACTGCTTTTATTTATATGCATGCTAGGAATGAAACTGGCACTGACAGCAGGGATAAGTTGCAGCAATGGAAACTTTAGCTCCCGTCCGTTTATCTAATCAAATGCATCAGTAATACAAATGCCCTATCCAGAGCCTGAGCCTAGGGATATATACACCATCTTTCAGGTACTCTTGCTCCTCGGTGTCTCCAAAGATACAGAAGATGAGTTGCCAGGTACAGTCAGTGTTTATTCTAAAATGAACATTTATTTTATGAAAGATGATGTGGTTTGACAATGGAAACCAAGCCATTCATTTCCTCTGCCACTTGCTGTTATTCATTAAATTGACTTATCCTCTTTATTTTTTATTCTCAGGTCTTCTGAATTCCATGATAAGAAGCTTGCATTATATGATGCAAGCTTTCAAATGCCTTCATATCCTCTTTCCAAATAAGTGTAATTTCAGTTGCAGCCAGGATTTGGACTGAGACACATTCTAATGTCCAACAATCCACAAAAGCGAATGTAGATTTTGAGAAGCTTCGGTGGCTTCTTGTAGCCTAGATGAGAACAGTTGCTCAGAATTGGTTAGACCAAATCCCATCAGAGGATAGCTGGATGCTTTGGTCCTGCTAATCCGAAATTATCAAAATACAGATCACTAACACATTGCCTTGCAGCAGTTTTGCTGCCTGTGTATTCATTCAAGATTTAATTATTTAGGGCAGGCAAAAGCTATTTCCTGTAATAGATATTTGCCTTCACAGCAGATAAAAATGGTATTCAGTTTGGCTGAGGAGAAATGTGTCACTTACCTTCTGATGGGGAATTACAGCCCTGGGAGAGTCAATTCTGGGAGCTGTGGTTGAAACTGGCACTGGACGTTTAGATCTGGGGATAAAAAAAAAAAAAAAAAAAGAGAGAGAAAATAACAGATGTGCAATCTGTACTCCTATTTTTCAGCTCTAATTTCATGCCAAAAAGCTGCCATATCAGGACTGAAAGTTAAGTGTAGCCTAGACTTTTTCTGTCTGTCATCAAGCTTTTCCTACATCCTCATTTACAAAGGTATTAAATGAGAAAAAGTTTGAGAAAGTATCTCTGAATGATGAAAATCCACCAGTTATGGAACCAACCTCTGACTTGGGAGATCATCTGTTTTCCAATACTTGTGACAAAATGCATTTTCATAGGTGAAAGTCAGCCACCACTAGATAAATTCAAATTTGGGCAGCACTCTGGAAAAAGAGACTTAAAGATGTTTTAAAATGCAGAGGATAAACTTTGGTACTGAGGCATCTCTAGATAACTCCTCAAAAGACTATTATTTAATAGCTTGAACTGTATAACTACAGCTGCAGAGACTTAAACCTCTCTTCAAGAAGAAACACGGGCGTCATTTCAGACAATTGAGTTTCACAATGAGCAGAACACTACTGAATTAGCCACTACAGGTGTGTCTTTCACCTGTATTTGATAAATATATGTCCTTGATCATTTAAATAACCCAAAAGAAACCCCACTAAAATGCTCTGAAAACATACAGTTTGCCTTTTTATTTGCATAACAAAGAAAGCACAGTGGCAAATGTCATCTGAAAGCACTTCTAGGATGCTCAGGTAAGTGAAGATGTAGTTGTGAGAGGTGTTGTGAGAATCTGCCTAGTGGTGAATGTTCCTGAAATCATTCCAGTACATATGGGATCACCAGAAAAAATGAAATTAAAAACAAAATAGTCAAAAGAATCAGAATTATGCAAGTAATATCCCATTTCCAACCTACAGATCAGCATTATGCCTCTAATTCTAATCTTTCAAAAGTACGTTTCAAAATTAGGACCGGTACTAGAATTGAATAAATATACTTAAACACTTACAAATCAAGTAGAAGCAGCTAAGACATTTTTAATTGTTTGCTTTAGACAGGAGATGAAGAAGGGAAGACATTGCAGAGGCTTAGAAAATAATGAATGGTAGAAAAAGGGAAATAAAGCTACTCTTGTGGACATTGAATGGAATTGAAAAGACAACATGTAAAATTGATAAAGGCAAACATCTTTTTCTAGGGAACTTGATTAACCTGAGGTGAAACTCATTGTTACATGACATAATTAAGACTATGAGAAATGCAGAGTATCAGAAAGGATCAAACAGTTATACTTAACAACAAAAAAACCCCAAGAGCTGCTTTAGATGGGTTATAATAAGTAAACATACAGACTCTCATTTTTCATGGCACAGCTTAAAAGACCCTCTGTGTTAGGTTCATTATTTCCTAACTGAGGGCTGTGCCGCACTTTCCTCTGAAATACTTACCAGGGGCATCTATCAGAAAGGGAAAGCTGAGCTCAACAGGAACAGGACTCATTCCCAGTGGCAATCCCTGTATTAATACCCAGCCCCATACTCAGCTCTGGTTTAACTTTAGCTGCCGCACATAACACTTTTCCATAAGCAGTAGTGAATGTACAAAAAAAGACCACCTAGGAAAAAGGAGTAATTCTTACAGAAACTGGAAGATTTCCACTTAGAAGGTATGGAAATTTTGCTACTTTGAGAGCTGAAAACAAAGCTGATATAATAGATGCCTACCATACAGCCAGGTACTATGAAAATGAACACAGCCTGAGGAAACAATGAAAACTGGCATTTTGTTAAACAATGTGTAATTAACCGGTGAAATTCACTGAAAAAGTGTTCCTGAAACAACAGGCTAGAAAATTGTAATTCATACTCACAGCTGAAATATATCACAATATACTCCCAAGATATAATTATCTGAGAAATAGATACCTTCAAGTTCTAAGAACAAGAGCTACTCACTAACTGCCTAAAACAAACTTTCCTCAGGCAAGTTATCTTCCCTCAGGAATTAATGCCATACTCTTCCTCCAACCATTTTAGCTTAAGAAGAGAAATGATAGATCATATTTATGAGACATGCACATGTATCATGAAAGACAGCAAAAAAGAGAAAAAAAATTAACTGCAGCTCATAACATAGGACAGCTGAAAACTGACAGTGACAGTTTATCAACACACAAAGATGTAGGGGACAATTCTGCTCCTCTTACCATTGTTTCTGAGTAATTTCTGAGTACATCCAGTTATTTCTGTGAGGTGAACTGGTGAACCTGGGCATACCATGTTAAGTGTCCCCGTGCTCTCCTCACTGATGAATTTTAGTGCCAGAGTTGCTTAGCACTGTAAATGTGGTTTGCCACATACAGAGGTGTAGCAAACAACCACACACTACATGTTTGATGCTTAGCTGGAAAACAGTTGTATTACAGGAAAGGAATTTATTTACCAGACTATTCCATCACTTCTGATGTTTACTGTATGTTTAGTTTTTCCTCTCTCATTACCTGCCCACAGAAGATGATGCTAAAGACCTGCATTTCTTCCACATTAGTGATAAAATACATCTGTCATTCACAGTGTTAGCCAAGATTTGTATTTGACAGCAACTTGGAGTTTTCAAGATGTTACTTGAAAACGATGTTCCTACACATCATTGGATGTTTATAGCCTTGATATTTAAAAACAGAATAATGAGGCTTGCTAGATCTAGCAGAGGCTTGCACAAGAGAAAAGGGCAGAAGAGGTGAAATCAATTTGTGGAATGAAATTGTATGCACTTGCAGAATAAAGTGATTATTTACATAAGTCATTACTCCTCCAGGAAAAACATCTGCAAGTTCAGAACATTCTTTTTTTTCTCCCTCACTTGCTAGATGGTTCAAATCCTGCAGCAACAGAAGTTTGCTTTTCAAGTCATTATGATGGTGCTGTAGCAAACATATGTGTTGACATTTTAATCCAGTGATTGCCAAATTATTTTATTTTATTCCAAACACTTAAGGGCATACCTGCTCAGCAGGGCTATGAGAAGGATGAAAGCCCAAATTTCACAGATGACTGTGATAATTTTAGATTTTATGTTGTAATTTTTCATCAAGATTCTTTTTCATATGCATTTAATTTGATTTCAACTTTCAGACATTTTCTTCTACGTTTTCCAAGTTAAAGATGGAAAGAAAAACCTCTTTTCAAAATGAAAACTTAGAACAGTTCTAATGATGATCAAATATATTCTGTTTTTTTTTAAACTCTCCTCCTTTCCACAGATACACTTCTCTCCCTCAATACTGGTTCTGTTTTCTAATGAAGTTCAAAACCAAGATGGATGTAGTTTTGCAAAGCAGTTCAATTCTGATAGCACTGCTCAAATGACTGCCAGAATTTCTTCTTGTTCCCACCTATACAGATCTTTAATTGAAGAGCACTTGACTTCAATCCTGTTAATTTTGTACTCACAACAAAGGTTTATTTTAAGCCAACTGCACTGAGGAGTGCAACTGCTGCCTAAGAAAAGCTGCCAAGGAGTTCTGTGATGCACTATCAGTTTAAATTCCGTCCTCAGGGGAGCACAATATTGTACTTGCAAAGAGGTGACATGATCTATGAGATTATAGCTCTTTTTCATCTTCATGCAGCTTTTTTCTATTTCATATCTTCACCAGTCAGTGTCTATCTTTTCTAATTCTCAGGACAACTAAAATCAACATTTCTTTTTTACAGTATGCTTTTTCATTTGTCATTTCATGACACGTGAGCGCTTATTTACAACTTGGATATCTTAATAACTGTATCCTAGGATTTCAACTACTAGAAAATGAAAAGGCATCACATGCATATGGAAAGGTAATAAAACATATTAGAATTTAAAATGCTTAGAAAATATTGTATGTACTTTAGCTATCACCTAACTGAAATGGAGGCATTCTGTAGTAGAGAAGGTGGGCACAGAGCAGGATGCAAAACAAAACATGTAGAATAGGGCCTTCTGATATATATATATATGTTTTAACGCATTAACATTCCTGAAAATTTGCAGGGGATGATTATGGGAGTGTCAGGGAGAGACATAAAAATATGAAATATTACTCATGGTTATCAATATTTGAGGTGTCCATTTAATAAATGCCAAGATATTAATGTCCCAGTTAAATCTTCAGCTAACCAGTGAATTAGGCAGCCAAGCAGAAGCTGATACTTGTTTCTAATCCTTGCAGTGAAAATCTTGAGTCCCATGATACTGTGGTGTAATTCTCTGTGCCCTGTCTGGGACATCCGCAAGCACTCTTAGTCACTCCAATGAGAATCACAAAGACAAAGCCCTGAGCATTTCACAGTACTTAAATACAACTGTGATCACTCTGGGCCTAGGATCCGACCTACTTTCCCTCTCTCAGGGTATCATCTGTGCCTGCAATAAAAATGAAAAATACTTCCACCAGCACTTTTGTTCTGTATATATCAATGGCAAATGCAAATATTAGCATTTGGTTGGATGACTGATTCATTAATTATTTCCCTGCATTATGCTGCACTCAGATTGCGAGTTGGACAATTACACTTTCCAGACCTAATGTTCATGCCCACAGCAACATAAGGACAAAAGCTTGTTAGGCATAGAAGGCATCAGCCCAAAAGGAAGCAGCTATCCAATAAAAAAGCTGTTTGGAAGTATGTAATACCTATTTTCCCTTAGAAGGAATCTGAGTCAGAGGTAAGCACAAATATTAAGGGATAGAAAGGGAAAGTGAAAAGGAAGAAGCCTTGGAGATTTTTGTGAAAGGGAGGAAGGGATGTGAACTGAAGCCAAGATGTGAAAAGATGAGATTTTTCCAAGGCTCTCCTGATCTCTCTTTGACCCTTTCTGTTTCTCTGGCATGAGCACAGTCCCTGTTGCATCCTCCTAACTCCTCCCCTGCTGTGGAAAACCCCTACTTTCCTGAACTGCCACACAATCTGCCCTCCAGCTTGTTCCCTCCTGAATGGAGTCACTGGCTGTCAATGCCTCCATCTGCTCTTAATTGACTTGGT